CAACTAATTACTAGTGCAACTAATTACTAGTGCAACTAATTACTAGTGCAACTAATTACTAGTGCAACTAATTACTACTGCAACTAATTACTAGTGCAACTAATTACTAGTGCAACTAATTACTAGTGCAACTAATTACTAGTGCAACTAATTAATAATGCAACTAATTACTAGTGCAACTAAATCCTAGTGCAACTAATTACTAATGCAACTAATTACTAGTGCAACTAATTACTAGTGCAACTAATTAATAATGCAACTAATTACTAGTGCAACTAATTACTAATGCAACTAATTGCTAAGGCGACATCCTTGTTATTTGTACTAATTTGGCATGATGAATATTCTGTGCCATGTTCTTTGTTTTTAAATTGCTTGGAAGTTTGCGATCCAAGTATTCAAGTGTTCTTAGTTATTTGAACTAAGTCCGAGACCACAAAAATCATGCAAGTAACAAGAAATATGAAGACGAACATTTCTTTTACAGACGTTTGAATTTGCGAATGTTTCACTTTTTGGTTAGTAACAAACAAAATGCTAAACATCTATATTTTGGGCATATGTTTAGGTAAATCCACCATGACTTTATACACATTATATTCTAACCAATTCGCACTAAGTATGACTTGCACACATAATAGCACTCCTGGAAATAATATACCACGTAAACTATGCTGTATAACTAGAACACCTGACCACCCCACTAAGATGCACGAAAAAGATTCTAATCAATTCCTGAACTTATCAAATAATATATGGCGTAACATTCCTTGTATAACAGGAACACTGAACACTCCACTAAGATGCATGAAACAGAAGCTCATAAATTCCTGAACTTACCAAATATTATACCGGTACCGCGTAACATTCCTTGTATTACAGGAACAAACGACCACTCCACTATGATACATAAAAAGGCTCATAAATTCCTGAACTTGCCAAATAATATACCGCGTAACATTCCTTGTATTACAGGAACACCCGACCACTTCACAGATGGAGGTCTCTTATAAAAATGAGACCGGGCAACCACAACAACAACAACAACAACTAAGATGCTTGAAAAAGCTCATCAATTCTAAAACTAACCGCACAGGTTGCTGGGTTTCAGTCTTCAGAATGGAGAGGAGCAGCTGCAGCAGAAAAGGGTACTGAGTGTAGGGATGTAGTGAACCTCCTGCCGTGGCCTCCACCAGCTGCCCCAGCGTCACCAGCGCCACCTGACGCCTCCACCCACACAGTCGAGACTCCAGCATGGCTAGCAGCAGGGGCATCACTGCGCCCACCCACGACCTGATGTCGCTTCCACTCACCTACGCATTTTGCATAACGAGATTACCAAGTGACCGAAACAAACAGACACCAGGAAATTATGTATACATGAAGGATTGCGAACTGTTCCCATAAAGAAATATTTAAAAATGAGCATCGATGGAAATTTTCCCTTCAGGCTTTAAAATACTGTATGTTAAATAATTTTATTAGCTGCGAATACTTTAAATCCACAGCTTCTTCATAACTCTTATTTCAGGAACATTGGGAATAATTCGCTATAATACGTTAATTTATCACTTTATCACTTATAGTTAGTTCAGCGGTCATAATTTATGACGCTTCAGGTCGGGCTTATCACTTGTTAGACACAGTATTTTATTTATTTTAGTGTTTCTGATTAAGATAGCTACAATGATTTACGTCAACTTCAGCCACTAAGGCTATTTTGCACCGGTTGTCGCATGTAAACATCATCAGGAAGGCGGGAGGTCTCAATTATTGAGAATTTTTTAAAACTATCAATCACGAGGCCTGTGCGCAGAAGCTGGCAAGAAATAAGCAAGGTTTGCATCTCAAGAGGTAATGGAGGACAGGTCAAAGGCAACAGAAACGAAGACATTTAAACAAGAGGTCGCTTACACGAGACGTCCGATACGTCGGCTGCCCGCTCGAGAGAGACAGAGAAGAGAAATGCAAGGAGTTTTAACAGCATAACAACTTGAGCTCACAACTAAGAACTGCTGTCAGATACTGGGAGCACTATGCTGGAGCAATTAGTAACAATGCTCCTAGTAACGTGAAATTAGATAGGACGAGCACAGACACACGTTAGAAGACACCCTTGTGTGGTCTGCTGTGAGTCTGGGGCTAGTCGTGCCCTGCTATTCTTACAGTAAGCTTAAGCTTTGAAAAATGAGTCCATTAAGGGGACCGGCTACCTTAAAATTTTCAAATTTGGCTTTTCCGGTTTTTGAACTCATCTTAAAGCTGAAATTCTGCTCTTTCCAATGGTACCACTGCCATCGCTGTACGCCAATATTTACGTTCATGACGTCTCTTTAAAGGGAAGCGGGTGGCAGAGTTCTTTAACTAATTAGATATAAAGTAATTAGCTGCTGAAATCTTTGAATATAGTTTCTACTTGAGTTGTGCTGCAGTTACATGCTTAATTTTAGCCGTTTTCTATGAATTTCACGTTTTCTATATATTTTTTCGAAAAATTCATACGAGCAAAATGTTCTTATATTTACATTTTGCATATGTATGCGAAGTTTCATGATGATCGGATAATAACTGTAGAAGTTTTTCCGGAGGGTAGCCGGTCCCCTTAAGTCAATTGGAAAATTTCCTCAATGTATATTAGTTAATTGGGAAGTAGGTTAGTGACCGGAAAGCACCAACTACTAATGATGGGGGCGTTCAATATGCTATTCCTGCGATTGCAACTGCATCTGGTGGTAGTTCGTAACTGGATCGAAGACAAACTACAAATTTCTGCAGTTTGGCAGAGAGCATATGTTTACTCAACAAATGCGAAGGCTCTAAATGAAACTCGATATTTTCGACTAGTTCTATACTAGCAATGGGGAGCAAGTAATTTAACCCTCTACCGCCTGACACGAGTTGAATAACCGGAGCAATATTGTCACAAGCCTACTTCCCAATAAGGATACGTTCTAGTGAGCGCAAAATGACTTGCACTGATGGTTGCCGCCACGTACGACAACTTTAAAATGTTCTTTGTTGCGTAAAAATGTCCTCAGGTTGCTACACTCAATATTTAAAGTACAATTTAATTTGAAAGTTATGTTACTGGAGAGTGACATACGACAGTAGAGGGTAAACTACATATTAAGGAAACTTCTGTCAGATCATTGACAACTGTGATTGGGCCATCAATATTGATAGGGAGAGAACCAGCCCATGTTTGCACCACGCACCACGAGATATTTTGGCATGTTTACATTTCCACCATCGTAAAACAACTGCTAGGTTATATTCCTGTGGTGATGTAAACTAGTAGAGTGAGGACGAACCTGGGCGAGATCCCCAACAGCAGTCATGAGGCTGACGGTGACGACAGGGTTGAGGTCAGGCTGCGTCAGGATGGGCACCACAACACTCATGATGGGCTGCACGTACTGCCGCAGGAAGCGTGGCGCCTGAGCGATCATGTGGCGCAACATGCGGGCGCTCAGCTCGCGGTTACGACCAATGCCCGTGAAGTCCAACTCGCTCAGTAACTGGAAATATTGTCAATTGTCAACATAAGTATAAAGTGGTAATATAATCGACATTTTCTTAATGCCAATAGTCGAAGACCTTACCTAAGCCTTCCACTCAGGCGCCACCAAAACCTGCGCATGCAAAATTTAGAAAATGCTTATTAATGGCTATGGTATCAACATATGTAATAACACAATGTTATATCGAGTCTATCAACTGTCAAAATGTAATTAAGCCTCACAATTTCAGCGTAGCGTACCACTATAACTCAAACTTCATGATGTTCAGAAGATAAACAAACGTGAAAGTTTATGTTCCTTCACAATCAACTTACTAGGAAAATAAAAAAATATCGCTTCAACTCTAGCCTAGTTCAAGTTGAATCTAGCCTCCTTTTCTACATTTTACTCAAGTATCCCTTCAGATCAATAACGTATTCCTTCTAGTTCGGTATTATGTGAAGCCGATACGTGAATGTCTCAACTTCAATTCAATTAAAGAACAAGAACAACATTAATATTAATCAATAAGCGCTAGCAGCATTGAGAACACCAAACCTCCGATAGTTAGCAATATCTTCATGGTAATTTTTATCATTGTGTAGAGTATACTTCCGATCATAAAGCTGTTTCAAAATAAACGATGGATTTATATGAAACTAAATGCAGTGTATGATGTTGCACTGAAAACCAAACATTCCTATCTCAATCTTGCGACAATTTTTTAACGGCAAAACATCAAAACGCAAAACATCATCTTTGCGACGGCAAAGCATCAAAATTGACACCAGAAAATCATCGCACTAACCCTGAGCAGAGTTTTCCTCAGTAAAGGATGCACATAAGCAGGGTTGATGACGGAGAGCTTGGCGAGGAGGGTGACGGCAGCCTCGCGTATCTCCAAGGACTCGTCGCTGAGCGCCAGCACGAGCGCGTTCAGGTTCTCAGGCTGCGCCATGTGCACCGAGAACGCGTCCTCCAGCGACGTCAGGGCGCATAACCGCACGTCTACGTCTGGGCCGAGATAAAAATTAATTAGTTTAAGGGAGAATATGCGAGAAATTATACATTTTAATTAAAATTAAGCATACCAGTACGTCTACGTCTGTGCCAAGATATAACTAAGATTCAGTTTCAGGGAGCAGAATATGTTAGAAATTATACATTATTAATTAAAATTAAGCATACGCGTTAATCCACAAGATGTAGCCAAAGTTGAAAATTGCTAAACATAAGAAATTCCAAAATTCAACTGGCCAATAAGTTTATATTCTTCACATCATTTCAGAGTAATGAATGGTCATTTTTTGGACATTACGTTCACTTAATATCATACAAGAAAGAACGAAGTTAGAATGTAATTAAATTCTGTACCCTGGAGTCGGCAGGTTAGCTTACCCATGTCAGTGACGCTAAGCCACAGCACGCGCGACACGTGCTCATACACAATAGCTGCATGGACGGGGTGTTGAGTAGAGTGGTCGTTGCAGAGGGAATTGTAGGGCGGGTGAGGGTGTAACGGCAGTCCTAAATTGCCGCTATCACACACAGGGTGCAGAAGATGACATATGGTGGCCACGGCCTCGAGCCGCACCTCCTTGCTGCTGTGCGATACATACAAGTCGCTGATGTGACGAATCACTTGGAGTAACCAGGGACCGGCTGAGGGAACGATTAAAGTTATGAGAATGTTTCTTAATCCATACACATTTGTGAGAGAAGCCGTGTTAGAATCAATTACAATTGTCATTAGCATGATTAACAAGAAAGTTCACTATATGATTTTAATCAACACTATGTTGCCAACACAATAAATGAGTAAACCTGCTCGAATTAAAGCTTTCTAGGACTAAGACCGATTATCACTTAGTGTAGTTTAAATAATGTGCGAGACTAATATCAGTAATGAAATTCGTGATAATAAGAAAAAAAATAACCCACATATCTAAATGTTACGATAATGCTAGTCCAAATTATTTGTGTAAACAATATTTGATCTGTAAGAAATCCAATAAAGACACGAGGTATAAACTAGTTCACATCTCACCGGTATCCTCGAAATCGAAGGACGCAAGAGTTCTGAGCGCCAGCACAACAGTGGAGACGTTCTGCAGGTCTGCAGGGGAGGGGGTGGTGGAGGAGGGCGAGGCGCCCCCTCGCTGGATCAGGATACTGGACAGCAGTTGTAGCAGGCCTTCACTGATGCCTTTCTGCTTAGTCATCAACATAAAGAAATAATGAAGAGCTAACACACGCAACCACCAAAAAAAACAGGTACGATTGTTATCTGCATCTAGAATCAAGTTATACTTTCAGACAAAATAATCAAACGCTCAAAGTCCTTGAAAATTATCCAAAAATACAGTATTAATATTGTCGTAGGTTGGACCCATGACAGTTCGACTCATCCAATTAAGGATAATTTTTCTCATTCATGAGCAGCACATTAATTAAGCAGCCAAAGGTTAATACTAACCTTCAGGTCCGGCAAGACGAGCGCCAGCTCCTGCATACAGAGCGCCAGAGTGGGCGAGAGTCCAGAATTAAGTATGGGGGTGAGTAAAATCTCGATGGCATCTTGTGCAGCATTAGCTTTGGCAGGTGCGCCCTCGATCTGGGCAGGAGAGGGCGGCGGTGGGTGATGCTCCAACGCCAGGAAATCTGGCATGGGAGGGTCGGGGCCCAGGGAGTGAGCCACGAGGCTCAGGCACACTAGGACGCTAGGCTCCACGGTCGCAGGACTTCGTTTCCTGCCTAGTGACTCCTGCGAACAAAGCAGTAAACATTAATCCTCGACTTCGAGCAGCTCGGGTAACAAATCCAAAATCTTGCAAATACTAAGATAATTCTTGTTGAAAACCTTCCTGTTACTACAATTGTATGCACATTCCTCAAAAATATGTAATTTCATCGTAGGATAGACACAGTCTTGTGTAATCCTCGACTTCGAGCTGCTCGGCTAACAAATTCAAATTCTTGAAAAATGATAAGATAATACTTGTTTAAAACCTTCCTGTTACTATAATTGTTTCATCTTAGTATATTATTTATTATTTCATCTTAGGATAGACACAGTCTTGTGTAATCCTCAACTTCGAGCGGCTCGTGATACAAATTCAAAATCTTGCAGAAAAATAAAATATTTCTTCTTGAAAACCTTCCTATTATTACATTTGTATGCACATACCTTAGAAAAACGTTATTTCATCTTAGTTAGACACAGTCTTGCGAGTACAAAGTATGTAAGATACTTTGAATCTTACAAAGATACATAGTATACCTTTGTGGGTATAGCGTTCTTGATGGTGGAGAGAATCCTGGGAACGAGCGCCAGGGTGGCGGGACGACAAGCTATGGTCAGCAGCCCCAGGCACACGAACGCTGCGGGCTTTTCCTTATCCTTGCCGTTGGCGAGAGCCAAGCAGTGAGACATGTACGCCTCCAGGTGACCACTGCACGATGTTAAATACAGCGTAAGTTCAGCACATTAACTAAGGTTATTCTAGAGATCCCAGTTGAACAATCTCATAGAAAATCTTGTCCTATTTTCTCCAACTGACGTAAATGAGTGGATAAGTTTAGTTTAGTGACCCTATGATTACTAGCGCTTCAGCTGAAAATGAGTGGATAAGTTCGCATTCAACACTCACCGTATTGGCCTTGAATATTATACAGGAAGATGGCTAGAAAATTTGTTGGGAAACCAACATATATAATACAGTGGCGTCGGCATTAAAGATTTGCAGATTCTATACAGTGCTAAGTTTTCCAAGATATCTGGGTCTAGAACTGGTAATTCACTGCTATAATCTTGCAAAATTCATACTAACCCATCCACCTCATGGATGCAACTTTTATGATGGATCTAAATCAAATTAAGCTAAAGCTGCACCGCGGTACAAAGCATTGTATTAATCTTCAGGATGAAAATCTGTAGCATGATACATCACTACATGCATAATTTATCACTAAAATGGCAATGAACTCAACTAGTCTAAAGGCGTCGATCACACATCAATAACATAACTGTGCACTCAACTGGTCTAAAATTTCCGTGTTCATCACTTATCTCAACCAATGCGAGGCAGGAGTTTCAGCAAGCTTGACTGTACCATAGAGCTGCGAATTCCTCGAAAACCGGACATCTGGTGGACAAAATGGCTTTTAATTAAATCATAATTCCCACGCTGCACATGAATGGAAGTCGTTTTATTTGAGGGCTCAGATTATTCCTGCGGCAATTTTTGTCTGAATTTAATGTTTTGCTGCCATCTCAGATCAACTCAGAGACGAGAAGAGCGTTCAGGAAAGAATGACAATGCACGAGAACTTCACATATTACTTTACTTATTGTGTAGAAAGTTATACCAAGTCCATGATTACTCACAAGATTGCAAAGGTCCGTGTAGTTGCAGTCTATCATCGTCCTAATGATGTTGCTCTCCATGGGACGGTCGCTCTCACTGAAGCATAGGAAACAAATTTCTTATCATTCTGATCAAATCAAAATCAAATGTAATCATTCAGATAATCCAAATGATTATAAAGGGATTGTACTTGATTTAACCAAACAACACCTCTCACCCAACGAAAGTCTAACGTCGAATTTCAAATTTTTAAATGAAAAGCTTTTACGAATCTGGCTGATACTTAAAAATGAATTAATATTGCTTTTTGTTATTTTACACGGGAGCAAATATCTTTGGGATATTTCTGTAGTCGATACCGGATCGTGATTTTCAAGAGCAATTGAGGTACAGCGGGCGCTTTTTTTCTGGCGGTACACTTAGGATGAAGTTGCACAAAATAAGAGCAGTATTAGGGCGGGCCTGGGGTACACTTAGGATGAAGTCGCACAAAATAAGATGGGGTACACTTAGGATGAAGTTGCACAAAATAAGAGCAGTTTTGGGGCGGGCCTGGGGTACACTTAGGATGAAGTTGCACAAAATAAGAGCAGTATTAACACGGACCTGGAGGTGGTGTGGTGCTGAGAGGAGATCACAAGCTGGTCCAGAGACTGGGACGTGGGCAGCGCCATGCTGGACGCGTTGGTGCCACGAAGCCTCTTTAGTAGTTGAGATACTCCCTCCTGTTGAATAAATGCCATCAATTTCTGAAGGGTGCGCGTTGCACTTGGTATAAAATATTGAGCAGATCACTGTATACCAAATATAGTGAATGGTTCCCAATTACAATAAAAATGCTATTGATGTTAATTTTCATTATCGTGTCAAACTATTTCGGTTTGCGAACGATCAAAAAAAATCACACAAGCCAGCAACAGAGCAAAAAATTGGAGAAAATGGTGCCTTGTAACTGTCAGTGCATTCCAGCTTGATATTGGAAGATTTATGCTTACCGGTACTGCTTAGCCTATGCTTAACTCTCTGTTGAAAACAAATTTGATTCTTACAGAAGACTTGAGTCCACAGCAAGACAATACTGATACTACATGAAAATATTACATAAAAACTTGTATGGAAACTCATGACATAGATAATTGCTATAAAGGTTGAAAATAAGAAAAGCTCCATAAACGTAGTGAATACATTTAGTAATTAAGAGTAGCATTGGACAGTTGGAATAATTTCATTGCCTTTAGTATTCCTAGAGCTAAGGAACCAATTGATATAGTTTACGTTATTTTCTATGGGATAAATTTATTTGAGAAACAAATAAATTGATTATCAGTTAGTTACACTTAAAATATTATTGCAGAAAACCAAGGTAGTTCTTCATAAATATTAGTATATCTGCACCGTAGTCCCTAAACTATAATGGCAACGTAGGAAACATTCATTTTGAAGTTCTTCAGTCTCCAAAAGGCGCACTTTCTTAGGCTGCGAGGACTGGAAGTGAGTGATGTGCCTGAGAAGACGAGTGTGCGCTTCCCATGCAGCGTTTGCGTGCTTCAGCAGGGCGCTGAGCAGCAGGAATGTGACGTGGAGACGCTCCTCGCGGGTGATGTTGCGGGGCACCGCCGCGATGTGTTCTCCGGCACGAGGGTCTTCCAAGCCTCTCAGTATCTCGTGGACACATGAAGTGTACCTGCGGCAAATTACAGAAATTCAGTGCTTATGGCTCAATTGATCTACAGATAGCAGAATGTGTGGGATTTTTACTGTCATCCAAGCAAGTTTTTAATGTCTTGAGAAATTAAAATAAAGATTATCCATTAACTTCAAAATTTGAAGTATTGCCGCAGAATGTATCATCATTTCATTATCATTAAAGTGTCATTATATCACTGACACTTAGAACAGACCTTTTAGAATTCACTCTCAATATAAAAGATCCTCACAATTCAATATAGACTAACATTCTGGTATTTTGGAAAACAATGAAACAGTTTGTAAGGTGTTAAAATTTCTTTGAATCAGCTTAAAAGTTGCACCAGTTTCCACATAAAATAAAGAAGCACCCAAAACAAAACATTTTCTCACCATTGCGGGATATTGGGTTCCTTAGACTCCCTATGAAGGCCAACGGTGAGGGCAACAGAGATGGCTGAAACGCTCTCCTCGCGGACGCTAGCGTCACTATCCCAGATGCCAAACTCCAATATTATAGCAAAGAAACGCTGCAAAAATATAACGTTTATTTAACGCATAGTCATCAATGGATCACTAGCCAATGAAAAATATAAAAAATTTCAAGCTAACTCATGAATCGCATGTAAGTCCATGAAAAAGAGTCAAGTTAACAATAAATATAGGTACTGGGAAATGTGCAAATAATATACTTTTAAAAATTAATTTTTAAAGACAACACTTCCAAAGAATCCAGTGTCTCTAGTCTTACAGATGTACAATGAATTTCTCATTAAATTTTCGAATATTAAAAAATTAATTTTTCAATTTTTTCAATATATAAAATTTTTTTAATATATAAAATTTTTTTTAAATTATTTATTCTGTTAATTGATTCATGCATTGCCTCTGACTTCACACAAGTGTGCAAAATTTCACATCAATTAGACAGGTAAAAGTATGTCAAATATCAGTTATAAGATTTGTAGCAGACAAAATTATTTTTTCAATTTTTTTAATATTGAAAAAAAAATTTCAATTTTTAAAATCATTTATATTGACATTTAATTCATGCATTGTCTCCAACTTTACACAAGTGTGCAAAATTTCAGATCGATAAGATAAGTAGAAGTGAATTAAATTTTGATTACAAGATTTGTAGCAGACAAACAACAAGAAGTGAAGTTAAAGATAAGTGTTGTAAATAATATACGTTTAAAAATTACTTTTTAAAGACAACACTTCCAAAAAATCCAGTGTATCCAATCTTAAAGATGTACCATGAATTTCTCATTTAATTTTCGAATATTAAAAAAATTAATTTTTCAATTTTTTCAATATATAATTTTTTTTAAGATATAAAATTTTTTTTCAAAATTATTTATTATATTAATTGATTCATGCATTGCCTCTGACTTCACACAAGTGTGCAAAATTTCAGATCAATTAGACAGGTAAAAGTATGTCAAATATCAGTTATAAGATTTGTAGCTGACAAAATTATTTTTTCAATTTTTGTAATATTGAAAAAAAAATTTTTTTACTTTCTAAAATCATTTATTTTGACATTTGATTCATGCATTGTCTCCAACTTTAAAAAAGCATGCAAAATTTCAGATCGATAGGATAAGTAGAAGTGTGTTAAATTTTGATTACAAGATTTGTAGCAGACAGACAGACAAACAAGAAGTGAAGTTAAAGAGAAGTGTTGTAAAAAAGGGAGTCACTCCGGTGTAGAACTCTAGTAAGAGTTTAAAAGTGTCATACATGGCTCAGGCTTCACTCACTCTGATTTGCTGATAGAAGTGTGATGGAACGGACAGGCAAAGCTCTTTCACAAGCTGGATCTGCATCAAAATTAAATTCAAATTAAACAATGCATCCTTCTAGGCAATAATTGTGTTTGTATGAAGAACCCCACTAACTAGCTTAATTTTTCTATTATAAGGAATATCGCATTTATAAAAACACCATTAGCATTTTGAAAAGCATAAAATTTTGACCAGCAATGCCCAAGTTTTAGACCTGTCAATATTCAACATTGAATAAAATCAATGTTAATATAAAGATGCAGTCTTTTTTTAAGTAAAATAAATCAACTCACACTGAGTTTTCTTCTGGTCTCATCCGTCTCTATAAATGAGAAGCATTTCTGCAGCAACATTTCCACACCCGTGGCAGTAGGCGCTCCCGACACCAGCAACAGCCGACCTAATGCCTTCACTGCCAGCTCTGACACGCCACTCTCACAGCTGCACATAATTAACATCACAAGTTACACATCTAATCATATAGAATTCCTGTGCCAGAACATCACAAAGTTAACTCACATTAGACATAACTGTATTAAAGGGCAATGGTTGCTGCAGAAATTAAAAAAAAAATGTCCACATTTACTTTTCAGCACCGGCTGAGAATCAGCTAGATGAAAGTCAAGGCAGACCTTATGATGAGATTGGTTTTATGTTTTTATTTTAATGTTTTCATTATGTGACATATAATTATTAAGTCAAGGCAGACCTTATGATGAGATTGGTTTTATGTTTTTATTTTGACGTTTCCATTACGTGACATAATTATTAAGTGAAGGCAGACCTTATGATGAGATTGGTGAGGATGTTGTAGGAGCGGCTCAGGGACTTGGTTTTCTGTCCCTCATCAATATCCATTAGGCAAACTGTAGGGCACATTAAAATGCCAACATTATTTTCAAGTGAAGAAAAAAAATCAATTTCAATTTGAATGAGAGGTATTCCTGGTCAATGTCAGTAGTCAAAGATCAAAAATATATTGCATATATTTATAGTCAGCTAGAAGAAATAGTCTGTTTGATCAACAGCATTAACTTTATTAGCTATAACTGCACTAGAATCAATCTGTTCTTACTGATAGCATAAATTGCTCCCTTCTTCTCATTAGGTTCTTTAGAGGTGACCATGCTATAGATGTGGCTGTTGAACTCATCCAGAAACGTGATGAGAGCATCCACTGAGATCTGTATTAATAAACAATTCTATTACTATTTCTTCAATTCAAATATCATACAATAAATAATCTGATACAAGAATAAAATAGCAGAAAAAATATTTGAAGTAATAAGCTATACAAATGAACTTAACTATCAGCAGTATATTATTATATGTTTAAGAATAAAGGCTAAAACTAAAAAAGTTGCATAAAACATTTTACTGAATAGAAGTCTTAGATAAACAAAACAGAACGTTTCGGGCTCTGCCCATCATCAGCTAGTAAAATACATCTGGAAATACATGGAAATCAATTTTAGTCCATAAACTTAAACCTAAATTGAATAACCAATCCAGCTCTTATCCTCTTTTGATTCTAGGTCAATAGTTGTGTTTTTTTCCTTTCTTTCCTTATCATTTTCTAAATTTATGTACTAAAATTGATTTCCATGTATTTCCAGATGTATTTTACTAGCTGATGATGGGCATATCCCGAAACGTTCTGTTTTGTTTATCTAGGACTTCTATTCAGTAAAATGTTTTATGCAACTTTTTTAGTTTTAGCCTTTATTCTTAAACTTAGAAGAGCTCCTCGAGATATTGTGAACTATATTATTATATATTATTAAAGAATTACTCACTTCTCTCAGTTCAGTGAACACATATCGCTGCAGATCATAGGCAGTGCGCACTCGTCTCTCATCATCAGCAGACTTGAGTCCCGCAAGGAACTCCTGCATGCGCCTAGTGGGCATCTTGGAAACTTGTGATGTCCTACACGTTGAATGTTAGGAAGATAATAGTCTACTCAATCATCTTACATCTCTATCTATATGAAAAAAAAAATGAATTATTGGTACAATTTCCAGTTTCAAATCACAATAACTTAAGACACATTATCTTAGTAGCTAAAACTGAACCCCACTAGCTAGAAACGTTTTGAATATTTTAAATTTTTTTTAACAATGCAAGAAACTAAAAAAAAAGTTCTCTCTTTTTAAGTAATATTCATTTTATACATAAAATATTTAATGCATTCATTATGTGGTTCTATGAATACTATGTACTATGAAAAATATACACATAGCTATGGATTATTGTTGCCAAAATTGTGAAATATAATAAACCAAACTTAGTTTTTAGTCCTGCATTTACTCTTGTTCAATATCAAATATATGAAGCATGACTCCTAGAATCCCTCCCTGCATGGTATATATATACTTAATATTGTCTTAGCAGGTTGACTTGCTATATCCAAAAATACAAGCCAGGAAATTTATTATTGGCTCATAGTGTTATATCTTTAATAAGTTGGAACCCTGCTTAAATGTATAACACATAGTGTTTATATTTAATGATTTTGTCTACCCATTCGTCATTACCAGCACATGTAGAAATCATCTACTTTCCTAGCGGCTAGCAGCAACCTACACTATCCTGCATTCCTAAACTGCAAGATTTTGCAACAAATAAAATATTTAGTGTTTCTTATTTCAAATGAAATTATAACGTTGAGCTTCAAGATTTCAAATTTATATAGTCCTAAAATTAATGACTTTGGAGCCATAATATTTAAGATTTTTAGTTACTGTTAAGCTTTAAAGAGCACAAGTAAAGAATTCATCTTCATATATTTTCATCTATTAATGTGTAGCTTTTCATCTATTGCCCAACAAGAATCAGCAACAGGCCACAATAAGTCAAATTTTCAGCGTCCCTGACATCATGATAATATGATATTCCCTAACCAAACTCTATCCTAAAATGGACAACATTGTGCAAAACAATATATACAGACTAACAGTGCATAATAACAGACCACCACAGAACCCCTCCCTGCCCCATCCCGCCGCGCGGGGTTTTCTCCACCGGAGCGGTCTCTCCCGGCCAGCCTGCTCCGGATCCTTCTTTTAATGGCCGGAATAAATCCCAACCCTGGGCCTCGAATCTGGATAATGATGTGCCCCACCTCTTCAAGGGCCTTCGATCCAACTCCACTCAGCAAGGGCCAACAATCCAACTCCACTCAGCACCATAGACCTTTGGAGGGACCCAGCTGCGGTCGTGCGTTGGCTCCAGCCACGGCTGGATCAATGACGCCGGGATCGGGCGCGGGGCAACAACAACAACAACAACAACAACAATCCTTTAGCGACCAGCTACCTTGCAAATGCAAAATACTTCAAAGCAAATGTATTAATTAGTATTTTTATAATATATTATAAATGTATTAGTGTTTATTTTACAATGAAGTTTATTGCAAATGTCATTAGTATACCATGGTGTTAAAATTCATTCAATGAAAAAACCTGACAGACATGAAACCTGACAATTCATTCAATGAAGACCTGAAAAACCTATGTCCTGAGCAACTGGGCATAGCACAGCCTGAAAGTAAAGCCAATACATTTGACCAATTAACTGAATGAGCTTCAAATGTAAATAAAAATCACCCTTATGAAAGGCGAGATATATGGAGCTTAGTACAACTAAACGCGGAAGGGATATGAACAGAGATATTTGACTATAACTCAATAATCTGTCATAAGTTCATGTTCAATTTTCACTGCCATCATAATATTAAATGATAATAGTCATCAATTAGACAAACGGCTTGCAAGTTGCAATTGCAGAAAAACCATTCAGCAACTGAAACTAAAGCCAAGTTAGCCTACTATAATGTTAAATCTTATAGTATGAAATTCTTACACACAAATATTCAGCTTTTCTTATGAAATAATCAGAAAAACAACAGTTCATTTTATGCTCTTGCCTTTTAGGTTTAACCGCATTACTGCAATCAGTAGTTCAAGACATTTTCATAAAACAAAATATTGAGATGCAGTATAATGGCAAAGAGCAATAGCAATAGGCCATCATACATTTTATCATTTGCCACATGATAGTGACACATGTCATTGCCAGTTGTGGTTAACAAACTATCCATCCATCTTACACAATTGTTTATTAGTTTTTATAAAGCTGGATAACCCTTTAGTCAGACTGTCTGCACACATACATTGGTTTCTTGTTCTTTGTTAGCCTCAGCAATGCAAGTGAGCACAACTCAGTTTTGGTTACTGGTAGGTACTTCAATCTTTTTTTCTTCTACTCCTTCTTCTTGTTTGGTGATTATTGGAGCTTTGGATACACATCCATGTAGCTCCACGTCTGCAGGGCAATTCAGTTGTTGCTGCAGTCCCAGCAGCTGTGTGCACCTGGAAAATGTCATTGGTATAAACCATCATAAACATTGCATCAATTGATCAACTAGAGCTCACAAAATTGGAGAAATTATACTATGTCAATCTCATGTTCAGATATATATCTTGCTAAAAGTCATAAAAGAACAATGTATGTCAAAATAAAATGACATTTTATAGCATTAGGAAATGTTAGTGATTAGGTCACATTAAACAAAGTCCAACATTAATAGAACAAGCTAATTTTCTAAAGTTAGTAGCTAGGGGATGCCCTAACCTGTGCCACATACAAGAAACCAGCCTTTATGTGAAGGTCCAGCCTGGAGCCTCTTTCAGCTAAATATACATACAATATTTTATGCAAATATGCAAACAAGATGTATCTCTTATGGGCAGGGCTTGGGAGGACGAAATGGAAAATTTGTACATCCAGTGGATACAGGTAGAGGCACTGTTCACATAAGCAGTCTTGACAGTATTTAATTGATCTGCGCAGAGCACCTCTATCTGGACACAGGGATGCACTAAGTGGTGTGTTTGTTGACAATTTAGGATGAAATTAGTTAAAAAGAGTGTTGTTTGCAGTAAGTATATTCGTGATTGTTAGAGATGACAGGCAGACATACAATATTAAAAATACACAACATTAAAATAGATCAAACATACTAGATTGTATTTATTAAACTACATTTAATTCAGAGCAGTCATTTCTATCAGATACCTATGCAGTGGTGGCTTAGATTATCTTCACTTGTGTCTCCGGTGGGAAAGGGACTCCTCCAACCAATTTTTTTGCAGATTGATCAATATTAAGCATAGTTAGTTCAAGCCTGAGCATGCAGATGGCAGTGAAGCAGCAAGTGATCTCATTTGCTTCTACATGCTATTGCTGGCCAAGGAGTTATTGATCATCCAAACCTAGCCAAGTGTGCCTCCACTCCAGCATGACCCATCTGAAGCAAAGCAAGACCAATACAAGTCTGTTTTGGTTCAGTGCCCAAGGATAATTGCTACTCCATCTTTGATTTGACTGAGGTAAAGGCCCTTCCCTGAAGCTTCAGGGCCATTAACCCATTCTCTCTGCCAGTACTCAAGACAAACCAAATGGATATTTCTTACAGTCTCTTCCTTTGACCTAGGAGTAATTGTTCTATCCCAGAAGGTGTGACAATGTGAGCCTGCAATGCTGCAAGGTCAGCTGCTCTGTTCCCAGCAATTCTGTGACCTGGAAGAAACTAGAGCTTGACTTTAGGTGTGAAGATACCAGCACCACCAGCTTGCTCTAGATCTGGAAAACAAGGCATACATATGATAGTGGTTACCTATTGTTGATTAGAAACAGTGAACTGAGGGAGCCTGCAAAATGAAAATTTTTTCTTGGAATTGGAATTGGAATTGGGGTGCGTGGTGACCTACGGTCACGACCTTTAAATCGGTCATACACGCTGCCTAAAAAACTTTTACTAGCATCAAAAAATTAAAAGTTCACACTCTTCTGTTAACAAAAAAGTTCAAATATACCATATTCACAGCTGTCCTAAGAAAAAATATAAAAATTAATGACAGGCTTGAGGAAATTGAGGCAATGTAGCAGCCCTGAGGCGATAAGGTCAACCACTTCCTTCACGTAATAGCTAGGTTTTCCCCTTCTATGGGTATGGGAGCACTTGGCAGACCACCTCTTCACTGACACATAAATCCACAAAGTTATGTGAGGAAATAGTTGTCGCATTCACTGTCTCTTCGCTGGAGCATAAACCTCAAGTTTATGGTAGGAAGAGTTTAGCCAATCAGAAGGAAACAGTGGAGTACTGGTCAGTCAGCCAGCACCCAGCAGTGACGTAAGAATGACGTCGACGAGTGTGGCAACTTCAGCTAACACTGGCCAGGTCTTTCCACCCTTGCCAGCTATTATCAGCGGGCCTATAACACTCACAACGCTCCCAAACGCTAGCTAGGTAAAACGAATATTATAACGTTAGGAAACCACTGTCACTCTAACAGAACACTGATTGAACACTTGTCTCATATCTTAGGGCCGTAGCCCACTTCCAGAATGTGGAGGACCCTGTGGGAGATCAGTAAAACGTGGTAAAGGGAAAGCGTAAATTCCAAGGCCGATGAATTCCAATCCAAGGCCGATTCAGGGCTTATTGGTGCACAAAATTGGTGGTGCACGGCTGCGCTCCCGTTCATAAGTTTGGGATCCGGGACTTGATGTCCGAGATTGTTTTGCACCCACTCTAATGCCTCATGGATGGCAAAGAGCTCTGCCTTGGCTCATGGACTGAGACTTCATGGTGGAGTTTCCAATTGAGGGGTACAGCATTAGAGGGCACCACCATAGCTGCTGATGACTGATGAGGAGGGCAAGGTTACAGTTACTTGAGATCCATCAGTGAAAGCTGCAGTGAAGTTAGGAAAATGTGTCTGTGGAAGATCCTGGAAGACTTGTGAAGCAGAATTAGATGAGAAGCCCAACATAGGAATTAATGAGAAAACTATTAGGGCATGATGCTGGATGTTGAACCAGGGAAAAATGGTAGACAAGAAAGGGTGTCTCAATGATATCATTTGCATGGGGAGGGGCAAATTATGCTCTGAAAAAATGGCATGTGCAA